TCTTCCTCCAGGCTGCTACAACACAAAAGCCATTGAATTGCCATGAGCAAGCTCTGGAAAGGCTGCAGCACCTGCCAGGATGAAGGCAGGAGAGCCTGGCCCAGCTGCCCTCCCCAGACCTGGCAGGACTGGCTGCATTTGATTGTATTGAACTAATCCTTTTACCCTCAAGTTCAGCGTGGCAGCTGAAGTTTGCGTCGTCACACTGGCCCTGATTTTTTCAAAGTGGTCTGTCCCTCGGTCACAGGAAGAAAGAGACGCCTGGTTGCGTGAAGGTGCTACTGGCTGAAGAACAGCTCATTCCTACAACATTTCTCTGAGGTGCAGGTGGGAGTTGCTTGGTGTTAACCTTGGGAGTTCGCACAGTTCAAAGCCTGAAGTTCATGGCTGAGAGGTTCTCCACCCCCTGTGGATCCCCTCTCCTGGTCTGGCACTCACAGAAGGACTAAAGTCTCTGTCCTTATTTTTGACACTGCCACCACCACCTCCTCCTCATGTTCTCCGCAGGGTCTTCCTCGCCTTCGGTAGCTCGGGAGGCAGGGAGCAAGCAGTGGGAAGAGGCAACGGGGGGAGATGAGTTTTGAGCCGTGGCACTGGTGATGCTTCATGTGGCTTCCTCTTCCCAGCCTGCCCAGTCCTCACCTTGCTGGGAGTGGTGCTAGTGTGGTTTTGCTATGACTTAGAGATTTGGCATCAGGTGCCACTGACAACCCTTTTCATAAAGCTGCAGGTCTTCCACGGTGCTTCTCAGTGAGGTGGTTACTGTTTTGCTAAAGGAGTGGGGGGGAAAGCTGCCAGCTGCCTTTGAGCTCACAGTGACATGCTGGATGGAGGAAGAGGGGGATCCCAGGCTAGCAGGTTAGCAGAGAGAACTGCTGGGGCTCCTGAAGTGGAAAGTCTTTCCTGCTCCACATGCTCCCTTCAGCTAGGAGGAGAGTTCCCTTTCTTTCTCCCGCACTTCTTTTCAAGTTCCAAAGCCCCTGGCTTTCTTGTCAAAGCTCCTCCTGGGCAAGCGCAGGTCTCCTTACCATCCCCTTACAGGCTCAAGCACAACCTTTCCTTTCAAGACTGGTCATTTTGGTACCAGGCAGCTTCCCGGGTGTTCCAGAGCCCAGGAGAAGCAAGGTGGTGTCCCCTCTGCACAAGCACCCAGGACCCTGCAGCACTTGTCACAGGAATGGGGGCTTTCTTCAGGGGTCTGCAGATGCAAGCTCTTATGTCTGAGAGCCTGGTCCCATCCTGCTGGAGTGCCAGTGCCCTGATTTGACTGGTTTAAAAATATTGAAGATGTCTTGAATGTGTCTCTGCCTCTGGTTTGGTGCTGCTTGTTCCCCCTCCCTCCCTTGCACGTGGTGTTGGATGTTTCTTAGACTCAAGTAGTTGTCCACAGGGGTTTCCCACTGTACATCTGAGCAGAGCTTGGAGGAGCTGAAGACCACAGTGCTCCCTTCACCCATCTGTGGCTTTCCTGTGGGTCCAGCTCTGTTCTGGCACCACTCCCAGCTTCCTTTAGATGCCATTTCAGGGGAAAAAAGAGCTAGCTGATGCTGCAAATCAACTCTGCTGAAGCCCCCTGACCTGTGTGGTGGTGAAAGATGAGATCCTGGACGGAGGAGGACACTTTGGGGGACTCACTCACCCCTCATTAGCTCTGATTCTCTGATAAAGCAGCGCTCATGCTTCTGCTTGGTAAGGATGTACCAAGTATTATGTCTGCCTTATACTTTTATTTAAGTGAGATGTATTCTTGCCTTTGGCATGTCTTCCTTCTCCTGTTGTACAGCACAGGGACAGGTATTATGGACCTGACTTTATTCTTCCACGAGTTGGGTTTTCTGAAAGGGAGGACATCAATAAATAGTGAATACTTTTGACTGGATCTTGCCTACTGGTTTATTTTCTCTAGCTCCCTGTTCTGGGTGAGTTTGGCCATCAGTTCTCCCAGCAGTGCAGCCACTTGCTCTCTTCGTGCTGACTTGGTCTTGAGGCTGTTTTGAAATGACACCAGTAACATCTTTTTGTTTTGTTTATTACATAATTTAAACATTTTGCTGATAAAGTTTTTTTGTCAATGACCATTTTTTTCATATAGCAACAGAAGAAAAAAAAAAATTAGGCTCCAAAACGCAACTTCAACCCCTTCCCCCCCCCCCCCTTTTTTTTTTTTTTCCCAAAAGGGGTTTGAAGTTAATTTCTCTTTCAGCAAATTGCACTGTTCAAAAGTGGAGGTTCAAAGACCAAAACCCACAAGCTTCTTCCCACCCCTCCCCTGCACCCTGGAAACCCTGGTCGTCACCTCCCTGGTGGTCACATGGATCTTCAGGGATGATTCTTTTTTTTTTTCCCATACCCACCCAAAGACTTTTTCCAAACCAGTCCCAGAACTGAACGACCTGTTACAAACCCCCCATCCCACCCCCCCATACTGTGAGTTTTACTGAGCAGATACACGAAGGCGCAGGTAAGACTAGTAAGACAGAATATACTCATCATCTGTACCACAACGCTACGTCTCTAAGGCATGCCGTCCTAACTGCGGTGGGATGGGAAGCCATCTGGCTTCCCCTGCATCCCATCTCGCGTACCTGAGGGAGGGAGGGAGGATCTGAGATGGCTCTCGGACACACCGCCTGCCTTCCTTCTCCATCTCCTTTGTTTTATTTCCCTGCGTCTTTTCCTCAGTTAAAACCCACTGTCCTTCCTCCCCCTTCAAAGAGGCATCACTCCCCCAGGAGGTTAAAATCCCTCTCTGTGTGTGTGTGTGTGTGTGTGTGTTTTGGAAGCTGGTTGCTGCCATTGCTTTTTCTCCTCCAGCTTGGAGCTAAGAAACATGGGTGACATCTGGCAAGGAGAGGAGGCTGCTGTCTGAAATAACTTCTGTGTTGGGGTGGAGAGGGAGGTGAGACTGAAAAACTGAACGTGTGAGAACAACAGGTGGAGAGGAGTCTAGCTACTGGCTTACGTATGTTGGGTGTCTCATGGACGAGATGTCCCACCACAGGCACCTGCCCAGCGTGTTAGCTAAGGGAGCTCAGTAGGGTGTTGGTGAGCAGCTCGAACTGGCTGAAGACCTCCCTGGAGAAGAGGCGTCCCTGCACTCCAAGTCCCACACGCTCTTGCCACCCTCTCTGCTTTGGCGTCTCTGTATCTCCTCACCCCATGGGATATGTACGCAACCTCCTGGAGATACTAGAGCTGGCGCTGAGGGATTCAGCTGCCAAATTTACAACAGTTCCTGAACTAGCCTCTCCATGCGGAGGGCAATCCCTGGCAAGGAAAGACCTCTTCTGGCCTTTGGGCAAGTCACATCACTCTGTCTCTCTTGCTTTCCCTTCTGGGAAGGGCTGTGCCCTCCTTGGGAAGTTGTTAGCTACTGCTTGTAAAACCCTGCCTGTTGCAAGGAGCCTGTGGCTGTAGGCTACCTTGTTTTGTCCAAAGTTGCTTGCTGTTACAGAGATGCCAGCAGCATCTAGCAGGTCACCAAATTTAGTGCAATGTCTCATCTTTGGAGCTTCCATGAGAGCAGCTTGTGACCCTTCATAGACGTTAAATGGAGGAAAAAAAAAAAAGGTAATTTCAGATCTTTCCCCGAAACACCCTGGAGGACTCTCAACCTTCAGGTGTCTCAGTGCAACACTGTCCCTTGCTGGGGACCACCAGCTAGTCACAGTGCTGCCCTAGGAAAGCCACAAAACCAGCATGGGCAATGGTTGTGCTTTGGGAGAGGGCGGTGGTGTGGGCTAGCCTGAGCCTAGTTAGCCCAAATTTGTAGGGAGTGGGCAGATGTCCAGGAGCTACAGGCAGCAGGGCTATACCCAAAGTGATAGAAAGTTAGATGGAACAAAGGGAGAGGAAAAGGTGAGGAGTAAAGCAGGACTGTACCTTCCTCCTTGTGGCTGTGACCTTTTCCAGGGGCTGTGCTGGGTCCTCGCACCCTAGGGATGCTCAGCAGGACAATGGCCTGCTTCAGCAACCCTCCCCTCTGCAGGACTCAAGTAATTTTCCTTTGCTCCATGTTACCTGCCCTGCTTTTAATGCAAGCATCTCCACTAGGCTCCATCCCTGGCATGTGGGGGCATGTTACAGGCAGAGGAGCAGGAGCCTGGCATGTCCCAAGGGATGTGCAAAGTAGCCACAGCTGGTTTGGGAGGGGGAAAGTATCATGCATTTAATAAACTCTTCAAGGAGAGGGAGAGGGTAGGAGCAGAGGGAGAAGGGGGAAGTTTACAGACAGAAATGGAGATCTGGAGGCTAGAGGATGGGAATGGACCCAGCCCCCATGAAGCTCAGCCAGGTTTGGGGCAAATTCTCACCAGCTGCTTCTTCCTCCCTTGTTTCTTGGCTTCATAAATGGCAGGTCCCTTTCTAGGTGCTGTGGGCTGCCCCCTCTGACACTGGGTCAGGGTAGAGCATCACCCCAATTCCACTTGCCTAGGGGGTGGCTTGGGGTGGGTGGGGTTCACTTGCAGCCAAGGAAAGGTGAGACATGACATCCCCCGTGGTAATGCTTTGGCAGCGATGCTTGCCAAGGCCTCTGCTCCCCTTCAGAAATGTCCTCTCTGTGATTTTTCAGGGCCAGGAGCAGGATTTAGCTGGCTTGTCCTACTGCTGGCCTGAGGAGGTTCACCTGCTGTGGGGCACAGAGCCAGTTGAGTTACAACTGCCTGCTGCCAACCAGAATTTGTTTGGTCATCATGTTGAGAGGTCCAAAGGGCTCGCACTAAAACTATTTAAGAAAAAAAAGTCCACCTAGATTTATTGAGCTTAAGTACTGTAAGATGATGCAGAAGAGGAAGCCCCTGCTCTGAGCATGCTGGGAGGACGGACCGCGGGGACCATTTCCCAGTGACATGCTGGGAGGAAGGTGCCAGAGCTGCTTCCCCTCGAGCGCACCGAGCACATTGCTCTTTTACTGGTCCCCCCTCCCTCCCCACATACGAGGGGGAGGGTGGTTTCCCAAAAAAAGAGACCAAACCGTTCCCCTCAGGGCTGTGCTGCAGTTCCCTGGACATTGCTGCATGATAGAGCGTTGGTGCCGGACGTGAGAGGCAGATACGGGCAGGAGGCCATGGGGTGGGGAGAGAGATGGAGACACGGACTGAGAGAGAGAGAAAAAAGAGTGATGGAGAGCTGTAGGCAGGCGGGACACAAGGGCTGTCTCGCTGCAAGACCTCTGGCACTTAGCCGGAGGCATTGATGTAGAGCTGGCTCTTGAGGATGTAGTCGATGACGGGCTGGCAGAGGTAATCCACGACGTGTCCATCCCCGTGCTGCAGGGCCAGTCTGGGGGTGCAGGGGGAGAGAAAGGGGTCAGAGCCTACTTGGGTGGGTCAGGTGCCCCCACAAATGGAGGTGCTGGCTGGGGGCACCCCTATCCCCGCCCTGTAGCAGGAGTCCCCCTGCACTACCCACCTGCTTTTGGTGGAGCTGACGACCGACATGGGGTGGTTTGAGTCGTCCTTCACCACCAGGATGTTGTTCTGCAGGGGAAGGAGAAGAGAGGAGTGAAGGGATGGCCTGAAAGTGGGTGTCTGCCCTGCCAGCCCTGCTGGCCTCAGGGGGCTGCTGCATGGTGGCCCCATTGCTCATCCCACCTAGCAGCTGAGAGCATCTGGCCTTGAGACATTTTGTGCCCTGTGGCAGAAATGCTCCCCTGGATAAAGAGAGGCTGCAGGTCCTCTCACAGCCTTCCCCAGCCACACATGCATCTGCTTACTTTGTACTTGCGGAGTATGGAGGAGTGGTTCATGATCCGGTCAGGGTCTGCTCCATCCCGGGGCACTACCACGATCCCGAACTCCCCGACGATCACCTCCATCTAAGAGCAACCCAAAGTGGGGAGAGCTTTATAACCACTCCACGCAAAACCTGCCACTGTCTGCCAACCCCCCTGCACCATGAAAGCTGGGCCATGGTCTGGATGGAGATAGAAAGTGAATTTGAGTCTATCTCAACAGCCTTTGGCAGAAACTTGGAATTTTCAAGGTGTGGTGAGTGGTCTGCAGTGGATGAAATAAAAAGGCACAGGGTTAAATCTTATTACTAGACGTTGAGGTTAGGCTTTAGGGAGGACTCGTGGTAGAAGGAGGACGGCAGCAGAAGAGGTTGCCCAAGGAGGATGTGACCTCTGCCTCGCTGGAAGGCTTTATGAGCAGGATGGACGTGTTGGTCCGGACAGAGGTCTGTAGGGTTGTTCTTCCAAGGTTGTTTGCACCAAGGCTGGTGGCCAAGTTTGCCACTACATGAGGATGGCTCCCACTGCTCACCACCCATCTTGGGTGAGACAAACCAGGCTCATCCGAAGGAGCTTTGGGTCAGCAAATTCGGGCAGCAGGAGCCTGTGAGGTGGTGCTGGTGCAGAATGTCTCCTCTGCCTGTGCTTTGACATCCAATTTTTGCATCCTTTGGGCTGGGCTTCAAGACTTGCCTCATCTCAGACTTTGTAGCCTGTCAGAGGAGATATCTGCCAGCTAATTGTTTTAAAAAACTTAGGATTGAAGATGTGGTAATTGATTTTAGAAATGGTTGAGGGGCTTAAGGAGGGGAGGGGTTGTGTTGACCGCCTGATTTCAGCGAAGAGCCGGGTGAGCTCCCATAGCCAGCACAGCTCTGACTGCTGGGAGCAGCATGGGGGTTGATAACCCAGTCCCTCTGTCTAAGGCTGGTGTCCTCCCATGAAAATATGGCTTCTTCAGGCAGGGACCGCGGTGTCCAGGGTGCCGGGTGTCCTGCTGCAGTCCTTCACTAATTGGGGGGCGAGCACAGAGAGGCGAGCAGTGGATTTCGTCCATTTGAGTTGTGGCAGTGAAGGTGCTGAGACGGGCTCATGTCAGCTGTGAGTTGGTGTTCGGCATCATCTGGCTGAGGATGAGGAATCAAGCTGGTTTTACTTCTCGGCCTTTGTAAAGATGCGTACTTGGGTACCCCACATTGCAGGAAAAGCCTTTTATTAAGTGAAAGCTGTTGATTTGGCTGTAAATGTGTTTAATTTCTAACATCTGGCCAACTTTTGTAAATACCTTATTTCCTACCTCCACACCTCACTCTGCTGGGACTGGTATCTACTTGATGCTGGCTCCTTCCAAGGGACGAGGAGTGGGATTGCAGCCTTTGGAAATCCCTTGGGATAGACTTACCCTACACCCCTGGTGACATCCTCTGCATGAACAGTGAGTGGGAGCAGGGCTTGGGTCTGCGGAAGGGGAGGCTGGGTAGGGCTGGTGATTCAGGAGCAGAAGACCCTGTCCCTCAAGCTGCCCATGTGTAGGGGAGGTGAAGGGTCAGGGTTGGGATGGAGGAGACAGTGGGGATGGTGAGCACAGCTCCTGCCATCCCAAGGGACCTGAGTGGCTCCCAGGAGCACTGGGTGTGGGAAGCAGAGGAGGAGGAAGGGAGCCTGGGGAAGAGGAGCATGGAGGGCTGCCCAGCGGTGGTGACTCACATCCGCCTCGTTCCAGAGACCAGGGATGCAGAAGGACTCCAGCAGGTCACTGCCACAGAGCAGTAAGATGCGAAGCTCTGAAGAAAAGAAGCAGAGAAGCTCCGAGGTTGGAGCAAACAGGGCTGAGCAGGCACCGCTGCCCCCC